AAAAAAAAAAAAAAAAAAGAGCCTAGGAGTTTGAGGTTGCTGTGAGCTAGTACTGTGGGCACTGTACTAAGGGCGACAAAGTGAGACTGTCTCAAAAAAATTAAAGAAAGAAAGACTTGCTCAGTAGTAGCTTTGTCGAGCCATACTTCTTCTGCTCCAGATAGGCAGGATCAAAGCTAAAGCATTTGGCAGCCTGGCCAGGTCTGATGTTGTGAAGCAGAGAAGCCCCTGGCTTCTAGGGGCAGGTTAGAGGTATTTTTGTTGACAATAGTCTATACCTTCCTGGTGACCATTTGTTCCCTTTCCAAAATTCTTGATACAGATTTCAAGGCTGTGCTTTGGATTACCATGTTCTGTAGTGATGTATTTGCTGCCTTGGGCAGTTTTAATTTTGCCCCCAGCCTCTGAAACTTGGGTATATACTGAGTGTATACAGCACAGAGCGTTCTGTGTGAGGACTCAGAGTTGGTGGTCATGACGGTACTGAAGGCGGTCTCTTATACCCCTTTCAGGAGGAGAGCAAGCATGGCCCCCAATTCTGTAGTAGCTAGAATGGAGGGTAGAATGTGTGGGCTGGCTGCCAGCCATCCAGAAGCAGGAAATGGCACCCAGAGCTAAGGATCCTGACAATGCCAAATCAAACCCTGGGATTCACATGGAGAACTTAGTTAAGGAAAGTCTTATGGTAAAGATGAGTTTTACAGTGACTTTACAAATTCTATCCTCCCAGGAAAGGAAAGGAAAGGTGAAGTGGGAGTGGCCAGAGGTGCTGAGATACTGCTAAACAGTATTTTCAGAGACAGGCCTCTGCCCATGCTGGAACTACCTGTATTCACATGAGTATAGGAAGACTGGCTTGGGATCTACCACTTTCTGACCAGGGAGGTATAATTGGTGCTTTTTAGGGCTGTAGTATTGAATATAATTGCCATTAGACACATGTGGCTATTTAAATTTTAATTGAATAGTTAAAGTTGAATAAAGTCAAGTTTAGTTGCATGAGCCACATTTCAGGTGCTTAGTAGGCACATGTGACTAGTGACTTCTGAATTGCAAATGTACATTTCCATCATTACAGAAGAGGGTGTGGAAGAACACTGCTCGAGGAGTCTGATAATTGTAGGTACAATTTGTTTTTTTGAGATAGTCTCACTGTGTCGCCCTCAGTAGAGTGCTTTGGCATCACAGCTCACAGCAACCTCCAACTCTTGGGCTCAAGTGATTCTCTTCCCTCAGCCTCCAAAGTAGCTAAGACTACAGGTGCCTGCCACAACATCTGGCTATTTTTGTTGTTGTTGTTGCACTTGTCATTGTTTAGCAGACCCAGGCTAGGTTCAAACCTGCCAGCCTCAGTGTAAGTGGCTGGTGCCGTAACCACTGTGCTATGGGTGCCAAGCCTATAGGTGCAATTTGTCTCCAGTGCCCCTGAAAACACTCCCCCCTAAACACTCAGGAACATATTTTCTCATATACAGTGTCCCAAGCTGTAGACTGATTGCTCCCTTTGGCTCTCCTTGGTATGGCAGTGAAATAGGGGAGCAGGGAGATAGTGTGTGAGTTTCCCAACTGCAGATGAAAACAGTTTTGTAGGCATAAAATAACAATATAATTTAAAGAAACTTTGTCCCAGTAAAGAAAGACCCCTGCAAATCAACAAGAAATAGACTAACAATTTGGTAAGCAAATCAAGCAAGGATATGAACACACAATTCATGGGAAAGGACACCCAGAAAATAATGATTAGAAAGAGAATTTGGGTGGATACAAGTGGGAGAGAAGCTTTATAATATTCTTCTTTATAGCTTAAATGTTGAGCCATGTGAATGGAGGTTTTATTTATTAAAAAAATTAAGTACAATTTGTAAAAGGAGAAATTTTGGAGTTATTCAACTTATAAAAATGGTCTTATCAATGAAAACCATTTTCCTCATATTTTCTCTAGATTTTGACATTGGATTTCTATACAACTGAATTTTTTTTTTTTTTTGAGACAGAGTCTCACTATGTCACCCTCCGTAGAGTGCCGTGGCATCATAGCTCATAACAACCTCAAACTCTTGGGCTTAAGTGATTCTCTTGCCTCAGCCTCCCAAGTAGTGGGACTACAGGCACCCGCCACAATGCCTGGCTATGTTTTGTTGCAGTTGTCATTGTTGTTTAGCTGGCCCAGGCTGGATTTGAACCCACCACCCTTGGTGCATGTGGCTGGCACATTAACCACTGTGCCACAGGCACCAAGCCACACCTGAATTTCTTCAAGCAGAACCCACTGTACTAGACCCATTTAACTCTATGATGGAGCCAAGAAGGAATAGGTGTAATAAAAGATGGCTTTCAAGGCAAGAAAGTTGATTCAGTTCGCCATTAGAACTTGAAGCAGATCTAATGTCTTTCCTTCCCTTATTTAAGAACGGCCTGGAATGTTGGACTTCAAAGGCAAGGCCAAGTGGGATGCCTGGAATGAGCTGAAAGGTAAATTGTTCTAATCATTTTCTCTTGTTTATGAAGCCCGGTAATGAAAGACTCTTCTTTATTGAGTGTAAGGGGTGAGGAGAGAAAACAAAGTGGGTGAGGCACACATTAGAAACCTGCCTAACCTGCACCAGAAAGGAAAAAAAAAAATAGGCCACCTACTTTTTCTCCTAATACTGCTTATGCCTTTTTAAAAAGGACTGTTTCTGAGCAGGGGTGTCATCTGTAGAGGAGGGGCTGGGGACCAGGCTACTGAAAGTCAGGCTGGGAGGTGGGGTAGTTGATGTGGACGTTGGATGTGTTTAGAATAAGGGATGGTTTCCTGCCCACAGTCCCTCTCCCCCTATAAAGCTAGGCAGTGACCCCCTGGCCTGAATGCCCTCCCCAGATCCCTCCCAGCCAGAAGGGCACATAAAAGAGGGAATGAGCTAATGCTCGGCAAGCTGCTGGCACATCGTAGGCTCGGTGAATGGGGCTATTATATGCTAAGCACCAGCAGCCAAGAAGTATCCAGGCTTCTACTTAATCATGTGCCACCTGTGGCAGTAAGACCCAAAAGTTGGCACCAAAGTTCCTGGCGGCCTTAATGTTCTCTCTAGTTACTTTCTGAATAAGCCTTCTGTCTTCCTGCAAATGAGAAACCCTTGAATTCAGAAAAGCCACAATACAGTAACTACACTCCTAGGATTCGCAAGTGACTGGAAAGGGAATGGCTGTCTGACTGTCCGTTTTCACCAGGCCTTTCCACACCATTCTCTTCAGTGCTTCAGAACAAGCTCTGAGTCCCAGAGGGTCTCTCTCCTCCACCATAGAATCCAGGAAGCTGGGTGTCACCGTCTCTGAGGGAACATTCAGTGTCCTTTGTACTTCAATGGGAAGACAAAGATTTATCTCATTCCCCTCCAAGAACCAGCTGCTTTTGCCCAGCTTTCAAAACTTTTCTCATAGCTTCTCTCTGGGGAGAAGAGAGTGCCTGGCTTTGCTTTGTCACTGCCAACTTATAGCTCTGGGACTTCAGAGCCTCACACAGAAATACTTAATAGGCCAAAGACAACCAGGAGAGTCAACAGGACCAGTAAAGTCACCACAATGAGTCTCGTGTGGAGGACTGAGTGTTTCTCCTGAGGCTCACGTGACATTCCCCCACTGCCTTATGGGGACTCATGTAGCTGCCAGGTAGAGGACGGGCCTCAGCCAGCCCCGCTGTGCATTCTGAGCTCGGTGATTTATGGAGCATTCATCCTGGGCCAGGCTCCTTGGGTGCTTTAAGTCTAATGCTTGGTAGACGTCTGAGGTATAGGTAGTAGGATTTCACCTTTACGAGTGAGAAACTGAGCCTCAGGGAATTAACCCAGAGCTGTCTGGGACTCTAAAGCCTGCTTCTTTTCTACCATGCTGGCTCCCTGACAGATAATCTTTGATTCCTTACAGGGACTAACAAGGAAGAGGCCATGAAAGCTTACATCAACAAAGTCGAAGAGCTAAAGAAAAAATACGGAATGTAAGAGACTAGATTTGGTTGCCAGCCAAATGGTTAACCTAAATTGATACGATGCCTTGTTTTTTCTAATACTGTGGATGATGTGAAATAACCAGTTAACCCAGTTCCTCAAGGCTGCTGAGGATACAGCTCCAACATATTAGGGACTAAAATGATTACTGACCTTCTCTAAGTAGTTTTTATCTGAAATGAATTAAAAGTGTATTTGTTACTTTAAGTCTTTGGTAAGCTGGGTTCTTGAAACAGTTTCGTCTGTCTGTCCTTGCTTCCTTTCTCTAAAGATTTCCTCTGGAAGTGCTTTGGTGTCCATACCTCCCTGCTATGTGGCTCCCTCGACACCCTGCTACAGTGTGAGGTGGAGAGTGCCACTCTGTCCCCCAGCCCAGGGTGTGCTTACCCTCTGTGGGGAGGAAAAGGATAATAGAAGTGGCCTTTCTCTCCTCCTTCTTCCCCATTTCTGCCACACTGGAGAAGATCAGGTGGGCTGGCTGAGACTTCAGTGTGCAGGTACATCGCTGGCCCCAAACTCTAAGGGAGGCAGGGTTGAGTAGTGTTTGAGGTTTGTCTGAGGTTCAGTCAGGAACAGAGTGAGCATCTGATTTGAGTCCAGTTGGAAGCCAAAGGTGGCCGGGTGAGCAAGGGAAGCCCTGAGCAGGGAGAAGGGGAGAAGGACCCAGGGAGATTGCAGAGAAGAAGGGCTGGAGCTTGACTCTGGAGGACATAAGTTATTTCAAAGGAAGAAGAAGAGGCAGCTGTCAAGATCTTCCTTACCAGATACTCCCCTTCAGTCTTGCATGTGTAATCCCATAGTCCTTTGAGGCGGGGATTATACTTCATGATCATGTGATAGGGACTATTGTGCCCATCATTCAAATGAGGAAATTAAGGTTCAGAGGTGACGTACGGGGAGGCCCTGTTGTCAGGTTCCCTCTCTGCCCACTGGCTGCCACTCAGCTCTCAGACAGTGAGCGACCTCCAACCTACTGGCCTTGCACAAGATGCTGATACGGAAGCCTCACTTGGCTGCACAGCACATTGCTGAAGAGTAGCTTGGAAAAGCAGGTTCCATCTGCAAAGCTGGAGTAGGGCACAGGGACGCTGTACAGGGGATTTTTGTTTAATTTTATTTCAGAATATCATAGGGGTAAAAATGCTTTGGCTACATAAATCACTTTTGTACAATCTGAGTCAAAGTCATAAATGTGGGTTTGAACCCTGCCCACGCCAGCTAAAACAACAACAACTGCAACAACAAAAACAACTTCTACCATGGGGTGGCGCCTGGGGCTCAGGGAGTAGGGCGCCAGCCCCATAAGGTCCCATATACCAAGGGTGGCAGGCTCAAACCCGGCCCCCGCTGAATTGCAACAAAAAATAGCCAGGCGTTGTGGCAGGCACCTGTAGTCCCAGCTACTCGGGAGGCTGAGGCAAGAGAATCACCTAAGCCCAAGAGCTGGAGGTTGCTG